GAGCTGAATGTCTGGAGCAGGATAAACACTCTGAATTCACACTGGGGGTTGTTCTCTTGTGCCATTTAAGTGGCACTTCTTGCCATCCCAAAAGCAGCAGATCCAGGACCCTCATCAGGGAGATTCAGGGCCTGGATGTCACCCAGGGAGCACACGGAGAGGGGCTGGTGTTGGCCAGAAGCAGCATTTGGTCCCTGGGTGCTCCCAGGGCACTGAAGGAATCAGAACGCACCAGGACACCAAAGGAATCAGGACACAATCCCAAGGAAGCAGATACACCAGAGATGATTTGCTACAATTTACAAGACGAGTCATTCACATTCAACTTGCTTCCACTCCATATTTGTCCATGTTTTTTTCTACAGGACTAGAATTGCCTCGTACTGCAGCATGGAATTCTAGACAACTCCTGAAAAGCATGAGTTTCCTGTTATTTTTTATGTAACAAGTACAGACACCTTGCTTTCCCTTCAGCCCTTGCCCTGCTGACTCCAAGGCAGTGACTGGAATGTGGAAACCTTATTATGTATTGATTTTCCCCACACAGTACAGCTGTAGAAAATTTAATAGTCCCTGTTCTGTCTTGCCAACAAAAAAAATCCTGGGAAGCAATGTTGTCATCCAGTAAAGCACAGGAAAGTCATGATGCTTAACAAGGATGAATCACATGCAAGTATTGGAGTGGATGGAAAATTGAATCAAAAGTAGAAATAAATTTGATTTATCACATCCTGTTTGCATTTATTATGGGCTCCTCCTAAGTGATAATCACTCTAAAAATAGAGATTTATTGCTTTTGCAACTAGATTTGAATATAACTAAGACTAAAATATAAGGAATTAAACCCAGTAAAATAATTCACAGACTAATTTCTTAAGAAATGAAACTTCCATCTCTCCTTTCCAACCACTGTCTGCCTTTACCCTGCCCAGCCAGTGAGCATTGCAAGGACAGCCCCCGTGGTTTTTTTGGGAATGTGCCATCAGACTTCTTTTCCATTCCTCCAAGTTAATTCAGCAGACACCCCACAGGCACTGTTTGCACGCAATGAAAATCCCCTTCACCCCTGTGAGCCAGAGGTCATTCTGCACTGCCAAGCTTTGTCCAGCCCTTTTTGGGAGGAAAATCTGCCAGGGATGGTGAGAGATGAGTGGCTGTTCCTTGTGAAAACAGTTATTGTGTGCTAAGAGTAGAGATGAACCCTCCAACCTACTTGACTTCAGACCTAAAGCTGGGCTCAAGCCACGGCCCAAGAATTAAATGTTCAGCACATCACCTGCCAACCACTCGCCATGGATTAACCTTGCACTCTGGGCATCACTGCCTGCTCCCAAAAACATGATTTATGAGTGTTTGCCAGCCCCTTCTCTTTCTTTTATAGGCCACAGTGTTACTCTAGAGTAAAGAAATCATAAAAAGTATCATGCTGAATAAAGGAACAGCCCAGATCCTCATTTCCATGGGTTCATCCTTGAATATTGAACCGAGGCTGATTTTTCTTGCCAGTGCTGCAGCTTCCCCTGTGACAAGCACAGCATAGAGTACTGTTATGTTATTATGTTATTTCCTGAGCTTTTCCATAATACATTAATGTAAGTCCAATTCTCCAGTGAAATGAACCATGAACACAATTTATTGGTCTCTTTGGGTAGTCCCTCAACTAGTGAAGCCTTTTCAACCCTGCTTACAGTTTATTGTGGGGAAAATGGAGAAAAGATGCTGTTTCCTTGATGCTACACCCATCCCTGCAGAGTTGACACCACAGGAGGCACCAATATGTTCTAAACTCCAGCAAGAGTTATAGGATAGAATCAGAGACTATGCTGAGATGGAAGGGACCCATCAGGATCAGCGAGTCCAACTCCTGGCCCTGGATCCCCAAGAATCTCTCCATTGGATTTCTAATGTATCTAAGATCAGAAGACATCAGAAATTACATCTAACTGCAAGAGCATCCTGTGCTCTTACTCATGTTTGACTTCTTGAGCTCACATAGATGTGGAATAACAGTGGCAAGTCATCTAGGGTGTGGGTGGCAGCAGGGGTGTGGGTGGCAGCAGGGGTGCGTGTCACAGGCTGCTGGGGCATTGCACACTTAGGGATGCTTCATTTTTTACATCTGATTTAACTCCCCAAGTGAAAAGGCCCAGCTCTTCAGCCCTTCTGCATTTCCACTGTGGACAGGTTTCCTTGGAGCCTCATCCGAGCTCTTGAGTTGGCTCCTTGTTCTCAGACACCCTCCTGAGGAACCCACCCCCATGAGGCTGTTTCTGGGCTTCCATGGGAATTTGGCCCAAGCAAGGCTGGACCACAGATCCCACCCATCCCAGCATCCCATCACCCTTTTCCACTAAAGCCTTCACTGCCCAGTTAGCCCAGAGCCTCGTTACCTGATGCAGTTTTTCCCTATAGTCATGTTTTTTCTTATAGGGATTACAACTTCCCTGCTCCATTTGACTGATTTATTTTTAAAAAAATCTCCTTTTTTTTCCAACACACAAAAATAGAATTAGAGAACAACAGGAGCACAAAGAAATACAAATTATGGCCTCCACGTACACATTGAATCATCACCTTAAACAGTCTCTGAAGAAAGGTTCTGGCAATGGAATGGGATCCTTTCACTGAACTGTCCATGGATTTCCCCAAAGCAGGACCCAAGTGAGCTAACAAAGGCTGTTCTGGGAAAGCTTGAAGCACCTGCAGCCTCCTGGGGTTCTCATTTTTGTATTTTCCTGCATTTCCAGGGTCCTGCAATGGGATATTGTCCCGGGAGAAACAGTCTCAAGGTGAAAATACAGAGCTCGGCTCATAAAGTTGCATCTGGAACTTCGTATCCTGAAGCAGAAGAAAATGTGGGTTGAGTGAAATCATTTCTTGCCCAGCTCTGAGGTTCAGTGTCTTCACTGTGTTTTGGAAAGGCTCCTCTGGCTCTTCCTATGTAAAAGTGTGTGCCCATGCCTTGGAGAATGAATATCACAGTCCAAAGGCAGCTTGACCCCTCTGATAGAATCCTACTCACTTTAAAAAAGAAACAAGAGTTATAATTTAAATGTCTTCTTACTCAATACCTTTGGAAAACAATAACATTAACAAAGAGATTCTGTCTGAAATATTTTAAAAGGTCTATTCAGAATAGTGATTTTTTTATCTACATAAACCTACACAGGATATTGACTGATAAGTTCAGTTTGTTCTTTCCTTCACTCCAGATCTACTGAAGTTGGATATTTGTAAACCAGATACTTTGTAATATACTTTATTACATTTGGGCCCAAGAAAAACTTGGCCTGTACAGCTGAATCTTCACTTCCATCAGGAGCTTGAATCTCTGAAATGCTTTGGGTTCTTAGACAGTTTATGTAGCATTTTTTTGTCAACATGGCCCCATTATAATGCACAAAAAAAATGAATTATACAGGTTTCTATTCGGGGTTATTTTCTTGTAAGAAACAACAATAATATTTTTAGCTTTTTACTTAAGAAAGATGTATTTTGGTCATAAATGAGGAAGAGCCAGGAAGAAACAGAGAGCCAGGAAGAAAAGGCAAGAGTTTATATTTGTTTTCTTCAAAAAACAAGAGGAAAACAAAAGCAGGGAGCAGGCATCAGGTATTAATAAGCAAAGGGAGGGTTGACCAAAATCCTCTCATTTGAAGTATTAAATAAAAAGCTCAGACCTCACCACCGTGGCTGCAGCCCATTGGTGCCACATTGCATTTTCCCAAAACTTCCTAAAAAGTGTTTTTATGAGATGCTGTGGATAAATCCGAGGTGTTTTCCATGGCAACCACAAGCACAGGTACCTTGGGAAGCCACAGGGTGTGTGAGGGGCTGTGCTGGGGGCAGAGGTCGAGTGGCACCAGAACACCCACACCACAGGCCACCAAGCTCCCCACAGGAGATGGGCAAAGGTATGAGCAGGAAAACCAGCAATTAAGGAGCTCCTCAGCAGGGACCTGGCTTAATTTGAGATGCTTGATTAAATCAGGAATTCTTTGTACAAGTTCTGTCAGCTCCACAGGCTGACACAAAGATGAGCTTGTGATTTTGGGGAAAAAAAAGGGGGTTTTATTTAGGAGCACTGCAGGGAATGGAGGGCTGGGTGAGCTGTATGCCAGCCTCATATTCCCTGGGAGCAGGGGCTGGGGTGACAGCACATCCCTCTGGCTCTGTCATAGAACCAGAGAGTCACAGAATGGTTGGGTTGGAAGGGACCTCAAAGCCCATCCAGTTCCACTCGCTGCAATGGGCAGGGGCACCTTCCACGAGCCCAGGTTGCTCCAAGCCCCGTCCAACCTTAGACACTTGCAGGGATGGGGCAGCCACAGCTTCTCTGGGCAACCTGTGCCAGGGCCTCACCACCCTCACAGCCAACAATTCCTTCCCAATATCCCATCTATCCCTGCCCTGCGACAGTTTGAAGTCATTTTCCCTTGTCCTGTCCCTCCAGGCCCTTGTCCCAAGTCCCTCTCCAGCTCTCTTGGCACCACTTCAGGCAGTGGAAGGGGCTCTAAGGTGTCCCTGGATCCTTCTCGTCTCCAGGCTGAACAATTCCAGCCCTCTCAGCCTGTCTCTTTGGAGCATCTCCTGGCATATCTGGGACATCCAGGCTTGAAACCCATCACTTACCTTCCTGAACCAAGCCAGGAGGGCTGTGACTGGCAGGGAACTCTGCTTTAATCCTGGCCATGGAAAGGTGAGAAAACCACACTGGACACCTGCATGGCAGGAGGTTAAAGCCTTTCCAAGGTGGTGGGAAGAGACAGTGAAAAAAGGAGGGAAAGCAGCATCCACAGCCAGCCCTGCAGGCAGCACCCACACCCCTCCCGTCCTCCTGCACCTCCCTGTAATTACCGATTTTACATAAAAACTTACATTTAAACGTTACAAAAATACTCCTCTCTCGTGCCTCAGTGTACCTGGGTGCGCCCGGGGGGCTCCAGTCAGGGCTGGCCCCCGGCGCGGCCATACAGGGTGGCATCGGGGCCGGGGGGACACGCCACCCCCGCGCCCCCGCCGCTGCCTCCGGCCGCCTCCGCCGCTCCGGTCCCCTCCGCCCGCCGCCTCCTCCTCCTCCTGAAATTCCCGTTATCGAACATCTTCTCGCAGTTGGGGTCGAGGGTCCAGTAGTTGCCTTTGCCTGCGGAGAGAGGAGGATCCGTCGGAGCTCCCGCCGTCCGGGGGTGCCCGTCACAGGATCACAGAATCCACGAGGTTGGAAGAGACCTCTGAGATCATCGAGCCCAACCTCTGACCGGTCACCACCTTGTCTATTAAATCGTGGCACTGAGTGCCACATCCAATCTCACTCCAAGATCGTCGAGTACACCCTGTGCCCGATGCCCACCTTGCCACCCAGCCCAGAGCGCTGAGTGCCACGTCCAGTCGTTCCTTGGACACCTCCAGGGATGGGGACTCCATCACCTCCCTGGGCAATCATCCATCACCTCCCCTTCCAACGTCTAAACACACTCTCTTTGCAAAGAATTTCTTCCTACCTTATTCTACCTTCTCCGGCGCAGCTTAAGCCCGTGCCCTCTTGTCCTAAGCCTGTGCCCTCTTGTGCTTACCCGGGTCGTCCTGGTCCCGCGGCACCTTCCTGAAGCAGTCGTTGAGGGAGAGGTTGTGTCGGATGGAGTTCTGCCAGCCGGCCCTGCCGCGCCGGTAGAAGGGGAAGTTCTCCGCCACGAACTGGTAGATCTGGCTGAGGGTGCGGCGCCGGCCGGGCGCGCTGTGCAGGGCCATGGCGATCAGCGCCGAGTACGAGTAGGGCGGGCGGGCCGGTGACAGCGGGGACAGCGGGGACATCACCGGCCACCCCCGGCCCGCGCCCGCGGGGCCCGGCGGCAGCACCGCCCCGGCGGGCGGGCACGGGGAGCAGGGGCCGCCCGGCCACAGGGACGGGCTGGCGGCGGGATGCGCGGGGGGCCGGGGCGCCGGGAAGGGAGCGGAGCATCCCGCGGCATCCAGCAGGTCCCGGGCGAGCGGCGGCGGCGGCGCGGGCGGCCCGAAGGGGTGCATTGTGCGGGGGCAGCGCGGGGCCCGACCGACCCCCGCTTAAGTACCGCCTAAGGACCGCGTAAGGACCGCCCGCCGCCGCCGGACCCCCCGAGGGACCCCCTCCCGCCCCTCCGCCCCAGCACGGCCCGCCCCGCCCCGCACAGCCGGGCCGGTGCGGGGGCAGCGGGATCGGAGCACACGGGGGATGGGGAGATGGGGAGGGGGGGGTTTCCTGGGGAAATGGCGAGGATTTGGGAGTAACAGGCGGGTGGGATCTGAGCACAGGAGGGACGTGCACCTGTTGGAGCAAGTCCGGAGGAGGCACCAAGATGATCACAGGGATGGAGCAGCTCTGCTGTGAGAGAGAACTTATATTGTTCAGCCTGGAATAGAGAAGGTTTTGGGGTGACCCAATTGTGGCCCTCCAGGACCTGAAACGAGCCCACAAGAAAGACGGGGAGAAACTACAAGGGGGAATGGCTTCACACTGCCAAAGAGTAGGTTTATATAGGATATTGTGAAAAAATTGTTCCCTGTGAGGATGGGGAGGCCCTGGCACAGGTTGCCCAGAGAACCTGTGGCTGCTCCATCCCTGGAAGTGTCCAAGGCCAGGTTGGATGAGGCTTGGAGCAACCTGGGATAGTGGAAGGTGTAACTGCCTATGGCAAGGGGTGGAACAACATGATCTTAAGATCCCTTTCCAACCCAAACTATTCTAGGATTCTATGATTCTATGAATTTGGGAAAACCAGACCCAGCTGATCCCACCTTCTGTATTCTTCCAATTGAATGAACAAAATCTCATAACCCCAAGAGCCTCATCATGTAGCATGGAAATTACCAGCAAGTCAGGAAAAGGGATAAAGGTAAGCAAGTACATATGCACGTTGCAAAATTAAAAAGAGCCTTTATACCACTGGCAAGGTATTCATCTGAATATCAGTTACTGTAAGCATATTTATAGAAGATCTGCCTTCAAATTTCAAAAGTGTGAGGGGCAGTATTCCTTCCATTTCAATGAAAATAACTCAGGAAACAACCTGACCCCTAACATTAAAGTTATTTAATTTCTCTACTGTCAGTGATTACCTGGAGATATCCAGCAGCAAATTGACCTCCAGGTATCACCAGCATGGCTGCCTGTGGATGTTGCTGTTTTGTTTTCCATGGCATTGCTTGTCTGTGTGTCAGGGAAAGGTGTAACTTGTGTTACACCTCTGCTTCAACATCATGTTGAAGCAGAGCAGCAGAGTGAAATTATTTGTATTAGTCTAGTGCCTTGTGGCAAACTTCATGTGGGTTGGCTGAATTTTTGTGTAAGTTGTAGACACCTACCATGCAAACAAGAGGATTTGTTTCATATATTTTCCAAACATACCAATTTACAAGCCCACAGAGAGCTCATTAAATTGTCCCCTTCTCAGCTGAGCTGACACCCGAGGACACAAAACCACATATTTATTAATGCTGACTTCTTTTTGCTTTGCAGGAAACCTTTTACTAGGAAGCAGCGATCCCTGGTAAACACCCAAACATAATTTAACTCCTTGATGATATTCTAACCCACAGGAAAAATACTTCTTATTAAAGAATGTGAAGCTTTTTACAACCTTTTTTCCATTTCTTTAGCATTTCACCTGGAATGATAGGGTGAGGAGCGTGTCAAGGGGGCATGAGGGGAGAACTCATCGCAGTTACAACTTCCTCGGGAGGGGCAGAGGAGGGACAGGAACTGAGCTCTGCTCTGTGGGGACCAGGGACAGGACCCAGGGAATGACCTCAAGTTGTGTCAGGGCAGGTTTAGGTTGGATCTCAGGGAAA